GGTGCTTGAAACACAATGGGAAAGAAGGCTAGTTTTTTTGTACTGGAGAACTCTTAAAATAAGGTGGTTTTTCCATGGCACCATTGAAACCTACATAATTGTAGCTACATAATAAGATGATGTCAAATTATCTTGAAAAGAAGTGAGATTGTAATTTATCAGCCCACCCAACTTTAAGCTCTAGATGTCACCCAAATAAATAGGTAGCAATATTTTTTTTTAACTCTTTCTGGACTTTGAGTTACCTATCCGGATCCTGTGGTAAAACCATAATATAGTGTTGGTTCTGATAAGCTTTTTCAAGAACATTTTTTATACCTATTTATTATTACCTTTTGATTTTAGTAATTCTCACTGCTTAACAGCACTTCTAATTAGGCACTAAACAGTTAAATCTTTTTTCAGCAACCTTGCTCGTTGATGTATATTTTATTTTTACTTATTTCTCTCAACATTTAGATTATATGTTTTCTAAGGGTGAAGTTGAAATCATTTGATACTGAACCATTTTTAAACCAATAGTGACATATTGAAAAGAAGATTATATGGGCAACATATAATGATTATAATTATGTGACAGAGAAAATAATATGTGCATGGAAAGCTGAAAATACCATGGAGAACAGTAGGTAGACTAATGGAGACAAAGCACTTCTGGTTGAAAACTCATATATTTAATCATAGAATCCACTTAATCTAAATGCTAACATGTTTTTGTTGGAAGAGAAAACCAGTAAGGGGGACTGTTATGGATATATATTGCTTCTGGCTGCCAGACTTGTTTGCCTCTTCAAACTATTGCCATCACAGAAGTCAGAAACATCCTATTTTAAATCATGGACAAGTAATTATAACTTTTCCTCTTATTTGGAGGAAAAAGAGTTATTTGTCCTCTTTAATTATTTTGGTGAGGCTTTTAGCCAAGTTCTTTGCTTTTGTTTTGTTTTTAATGCTGTTTTTGCTGCTGCTTGTGCTAGGGATGAGGGTGAGAAGCTTAGCAGGTCAGTGAAAAGCACTTCTCAGCACTGGTTGGAAGGAAATAAGTAAGCTAGTAAATAATGACGAAAACCAGATTCCTAAGGCTTTTCAATGAGAGATGTGTGGACTAAAATTCTTGGGTCTTGGAGTCAGATGACACCGTCTCTTAATCTTGCCGATATCCTTAACTAAAATTTTAGCCTCTATTTCCCTGCTTAAAATGGGAGAAATGTCTACAGGTTTGTATTAGGATGAAACTAGACAGCTTCATTGTTGTATTGTGTAAAGTTTCCAGCCCTAGAACTGGGTGTTGTGTCTGTTGGGGGTGGGGGCGTGTATCACACAAATATCAATAGTTTTTTCTAATTTGAGCTAGAGAGGACAGTCCTGGTCAGGCCTTCATTATGTCCTAAGTCTATAAGGCTATCTAGGGTCCTTAGATATAGGGGATCTCCTCAGAAAGGGAGACTGATTTTGGCAGCCAAGATTTGACTTTTGCAAATCTTTTATTCTGAATTCGATATTCATTTCCTCATCAAATTTGTTATATTAACATTATTACATGTGAAAAAAATAAAATCATCCATTCTGGATTAGAAAATGTTTTAAAAAAACATTTTACGAATCAAATCCAGCTTTAGAATGTCAGGAGGTTTTAGTGTGTCTTATTTTGGCAACTGTGCTTTTACAAGGATGAAACAGATGGGATATGCAGGGTTTTTTAAAAAACGAATTTAGCTTAAGATCTTACTACACATTAGAATTCGTCCAGAAATCCAAAGGCCATAGAAAATTTCTGAAATTAATCTTTGCAGCAAATGAATTAATAAAAATTCCCTATTGAGTCCCATATGCTTTTAAAGGAGCCATTTAAGTACACTTAGTTTGAATAAGACCAGTTACCAGATTTTAACAGGGAATCCTATTTTTCTTATCTTTTAGTTATGCATAGCCTTCATCTATATGGTTTATCATATTTCTGGTATATAACATTATCCTTCATTTGCCTTCTCTTATAAAAGAGCAGCTCTGGCTATAAGAAATAAAGAATCTTTAGAGGGATTATAATATAGGTCACACGAATCAGCAGGTGGGCTGCACAACCCTGCTTCTGGAAGGAGACGGACCAGGGAAATGCTGGAAAGCCCAATGAGTAGATCCTCATGGACATTCTAAGGTGGTTCAGCTCCAGCAGCCATTAGCCTCTGTGTATCTGTATTATTATTATTTTTGTTGTGCTTTTTTGGTTTGTTTTCATTTTCTATTATTAGCCTCTGTGTATCTTTATTCACATTTTGAGGTCCTGGCAAAATTTATCTGTCTCACGTTGATGCTGTATGCCAGTGACTCAGTGAATTTTATCTAGGAAATTAGGGGCAAGTAGCTGCAAAAACTATTTTGAATTAAGCAGCAGCTACTTATCCAATACACATAAATTATTTTCTGCCCTGAGTAGACCTACTCAAATACATTTGGTTTAGGAGCCCATCATTTCATATATATTACAACTTTTTATTTTTTTACTCAAGTTGTTATTTCCCATTTGAGTTTGAAACCATGGTTTAGCATCAGCATGTGTATATGGGGACACTTTTTCATCCTTTTTAATTGATATTATTATGTAAGAATTTAAGTTCTCAGTGATGATTATAATCATATATTCCTTGAATTAATTTTAGTAGTGTAACCACAAGACTCACCGTAACATGGCGTAAAAATGGCTTTGGGATCATTCACAGGGCCACTTGAAGGCTGACACAGCCTCTTGATATCTGTGAGATTTGGGGCAGTTTGTGTCACGTGTCTGAATTCTCATTTCTTTACTGGTAAATGGACTTGATATTCCATATTATACAAAGGTGGATTGAGATTTTTTTGGTGATAATATACATACAAGGCTTGGCACCAGAAACATATATTTATTCCTAGTCCTTTTTCATTTTAAATGGTTACAAGCATGCTTTTATTTTAGAGTGAAATCTTAGGAATGAGCTGAACTGATGACCTGATGAGAAAATAGTTAAATAATGTGAGGAACAGTGGAATTAAGGCCAAGGCTTAGTTGACCTTTTAGTGTCTGATGCTCTGGAATTTATCTATTAAAAGTAATGATAGTAATGACTACTCACAGATAGTTTAATCTTTCACAAGGCTGGCTGTTGTTAAAATGCTGAGAAAGCAGAGGTGGGGATAAACTTCAGTTATCTATATTTTGCCTTGTAATCTATTCTCCATATTTACATTTGAATATATATGAGATTGTCCTGGAAATTAACAGTTTTCAGACAGACTAATAGAATCTCATTTTAAGATATGACTGTCCAGGATACAATCTTCCCCTTTCCTTCCTTTTCCCAGTTAATTCTTCCCACACTCTAAAATGGGACTAGAGTTGCTTTTAAGAGTATAAACAGAATCTTGTAGTACAACAGTTTAAGAGCACAAGCTTTGTGGAGAGATAGTCCCAAGTTTGTGTCCTGTTTCCTCTATCTTTTGTGGGTTGGCCATGGCTGATTTATAAACCTCTCTAACCTGCACTTATTAATATATAAAATGAAGAAAGGAATAATATCTCCGTAATGATGGTTTTGAAGAGTAAATGGAATGACGCACTTAAAAATTAACAGAATGCTACAATACGTTTTAGTTCTTATTGTGGTTTTAATTGTTATCACATATAAAATACATTAAAAATATATTTGTGTCTGAATGTATAATGAATCATGTTTGGGTAACATTTAACCTCATTTTTAGATTCTTAAAAGGATCAGAGCTCTGTTCTAACTTGCTAAATTGTTCCTTCCCAGGATTGGGCAATTATAACAGTGGTTCTATTTGTATTTAAAATATTTTTGTTACGTTCCAAATGCAATTTAAAGCCTAGCTTAGTTTAACAAAGTTAAACTAGATAAGGCATAACAACAATTTGGAAGTTGGTATGTTCTGACATGTTCTGACTAAAAAAATTGAGTAAAATTGTTTTTATGCAAATGCATAGCACTATAATCTTTATGAGGCATTTCTTATTGTTGTACTCTAATGTTTATGAAGTTGTCTTTAATTGTGAAATAATTTTTCTTATTAATAATAAATGACAAGCAAATACTGTACTTAGCACATTATTTGCATTATTTCACTTACTTTGAAAGGGAGTCACTATGCTCTCAATTTTACAGATGAGCAAATGGACTTAGAGAAGTAACTTAACAGGGTCACACATCTAGAAGATGGCAAACAAATGGACCTTGACTGACTGACTCCAAAGCCCATTTTTAGTGGAAGAGAAGTTATCTTTGGCAAAGGTTTTGTGAAACGGGTTTTGCAAAGGCATTTCCATGGTGATATAAGTTCTTTATTAAAGCTAGACATTATCATTGGTAAACCCATGAATACTCTGTCAAGATTTGTACTCAAAGAGTCAGGCTGGAGGTTTAAGTAGAAAGAAGCTTTAACTTCTCATTTTTCTTAATTTATTATGTTAATATGTTTTCTCATATATTTAATGGATAATGCTTTTTAACATTTTTATTTTATATTTTGTATATTTGGAACTGATAAGCACCCCATGCTTTCCAGACAACAGAACAAAATAAAGAAGCTAGCCATGCACTAATAGATTTGTTTGGATGACATTTTATTCTAAGTTCGACTGAATTCCGATTTAGTGTTAAATCTATGTAACTTGATAGCATTAGAATTATGAGACAAAATAACAATGTATTTTCCTGAAAGGAGAACCTGTCTTTCCGTTTTCACTGCTTTCCTTTATTCTTTTAATTGGCAGGAACAAATGGAGTAGTAATACCACAGCTTATTAATAGACGCAATTGTATTCAGTTTTAGGAAGAATAATGAATGTGGAATGTTTTTACACCTCTTTCTATCAATCTATATATATGCATTTCCTTATTTATCAACAAAATTTTATGCTGTTATTCAGGTGTCTGAATGGCATTATAAAGTATAGTGATATGTATTCTAGGATTTAACATACTGCCATTTCTGGCTTTTTTCTCTTCCAGTGTCTGTATTTATGCTGAAAGTCCAGGTGAATGACATCATCAGTCGTCAGTACCTGAGTCAAGCAGTTGTAGAAGTATTTGTAAACTACACAAAAACAAATTCCACAGTAACTAAAAACAATGGAGCAGTGTTGATAAAAGTACCGTATAAATTAGGACTCAGCCTAACCATTATTGCTTACAAAGATGGCTATGTGTTGACACCTCTGCCTTGGAGGACCGGAAGAATGCCAAGTAAGCACTTAAGTAATGATTCGCCTTCACTGAGTGTAAATGATTTTTTCTTCTACTTTGGGAATCTCTTATTCTGGTAAACCTGGAAATGAGAATATCTATGTGAAGTCAATATGAGGTTTCCTTCTACAGAGGCTTGAAAGAATCGAGTAAGAGCTCTGTTGTGGTAAAATCTTATCTGCAGGTGGCATTGAGGGGCTTGGCACACCCAAAGGTTTGAGAATGATGCAGGGTGGGCCAGGTAAAGTGGGGCCAGATGATGAAAGGATGTTCTCTAAAGGTGAGACAAACAGTTTAGGTTTATGTGCTGAATAATAAGGTGGTTACTATAGATTCTTGAGCACAATAAAAGTTGTTTGGAAACTGAATTTACTTAACAGCATATATAATGAATAGGCCAACAGCAGGGCTAAAATGGATTCAGGGAGCCTGGCTGTGAAGCTGTGGTTGTGCTCCTAGTGGACAGTAATAATGGAAATTCAAGTTACTGATTGTAAAAAATTAACATTGGTACAATAAATACATGTTCTAATATACCAGAAGTAATGACCAGTTAGGAAAATAATGAAAAGTGATCCCTCTCAGAACAACAAGAACAAAAACTATGCAAGGAAACCTAAAACAATATGTGAAATAACTATGTGGGAAAAATAGAACTACCAAATGTTACTGATAAACCTAAAAATAAATAAATGAATTAATGAAATAAAACCCTGGATAACTGGAAAAACATTATATTTCTTCTTAGCAAACCTGAATGTTGTAAAGATTTTGGTTCTTCCCAAATTAATTTATAGATTTAATGTATTTAAAAAAATAACTTGGCAAGATAATTTATGAATGTGAATAGGTCCAAATTAAAAAATTTTTTTGAAGAATAAATGTAAAAATACCTGGGAATCTTGTTTTAAAGAAAATTTACTAGAGGTAATTTGCCATTCTAGATAACTAAAATATTATATACCTACAAATTTAAAACTAAAATATAGCTACAACATTAAAACTATACAATATTGTACTGTGGTAAAAATCAGATACTAGTACATATAAAAAATATAATCTATAAAGTACCATTATAACTCATTGAGAAAAGGCTGAGTATTCAGTAGATAATATTAGGATATTTTGGATAACTATTTGAAGTAAATTAATTTTGGATTCATATTCTGAAATATATTGTTTAAAGTTTAAATGTAAAAAAACAAATCATAGTAAATATAAGAAAATAATAAATGATCTGATTTGTATTATGATGATCTGTTTTAACTTAAAAGCAATGAAAGATGTTATAAAAGGTAGATTTGACCATATTTAAAAAAAACACTGTACATCAAAAACATGAAAGAAAACAAGAAGACAAGAAAAATATGTGAAACAATAAGGAGTAATATCCTTAATATGCAAAGAACTCACACAAACCAGTAAGAAAACACCAAGGCCCTGCCTAAATAAGGAAATGGAGAAAATCAGGACCTAGCAATTTTCAAAACAGGAAATACCAATGATTAGTAAATGTGACAGAATGCTTTGTCTCCTAATAGTCGAAGATTTATACACCAAAGAAATACACATTCCTTAGATTTTTCATCTTAGAAAAGTTTTTAAAAAGTGAATATATTCAATATTAACAGAATGAGGTATGATCAGAATTCTCAAACCCTTTTGGTAGGAGTACAAATCAGCAAAATTATCTGGATAACAATTTTGAAATATGTGTATCGATGTTTTCAAAATCTTTATAACCTCTGACCCAGTATTCTACTGTTAAGAATCTTTCCTAAAAACAGATATACAAATAAAGTTGAAGGATGATGATTCAAATATTATTTCTGTGGTAATAGTGAAAATGGAAACAATCTAAGTATATGGTATTAGTGTAGTGGTTAAGTAAATCTTGATACTTCAAGAAATGAAATACATGACTTGAAAATGTTATGAAAAGTTTCTATTGAGGGACAGAAATGGTTATATTTGGTGAAAAAGCAGGGTAAAAATATTCTGTATACAATATCATACTCTCATTTTGAAAAATCACAGGAAAATCTAGGAAGAGCTATGTTAAATTAATAGTGGTTGTCTTAGTCCTGGTATAATGAACATCATTTTCTTCTTACCCTTCTCTGCATTTCTCAGCCTTTCCACAGTGAATAGACATCCCCTTAATAATCAGAAACATCCCTTTTATAATCAGAAACATTTTCAGTAAAGAAATCTGAGTGTAAGTTATAGTACGGTTCAGAAAGATTCCCCTTAAGTTTAATAGCCTTAAAAAAGCTGTCCCTTTTAAGCTGCCTGTGACCAAGAAAGTATCAAATATGGGATAGTGCCCTAATGAGAATCATCTCCAGGTCCTAGCTACAACCTATTACCTCCTTTCCAATCTAATGAAATCGTTAATCAGTCTAAACGTTAATGTATTCTGAACTGAAATTACACTTTTATTTAGTTGGTAGTTCTCTTTTCCTATTGTAGAAGAAAAGTGTATTTCATTTTAAGTCCGCCCATACATCATCACTGTATATACTTTTTGTATTTTATCCTGTCTTTTCCATTATAGCTCTTGGAAATATCTCAAATTATTAAAAATATTTCCATGCAATTAAGTGATTTAAGTGATCTCAAGTGATTTAAGGATATTATGTTATTTCTATTAATTTTAAATACTTAGTCTACGGGAGTGATATCAAATGAGAACTCATGCTTTAGGTAACTCCTCAGAACTTATTTTTCTTTTGCAGGATTGGTAAGCTTATTTGATTTGTTCTTGCTTATAAAACAATGGTCTATTGTTCCAGCTTCTTGCTTCTGTTCTTGAAATAATTATCTCCTGGTGCTCTGCACTTACTCTAGTTATTTCAGGCAGCTACTCTTGTAGGCTGGTACAGCCCCATCCTGAGTTACTACTGATGGTCACCTATGAATCATTTTGTGTGTTAAACTGTTTCCTCATTTACCAACTCAGAGTCTGTGTGGCAGACTATATTGTGTGAAGAAGAGCACTGCAACTTTACATGGGAAGTTAAAAAAAGAAGAGTGGATGAATCTCTATTTTAGAGAACCTTAAATCATGAGCCAAGAAAAAAGTTTTAAAAAATTATAAGGAAGTAACAGTTATATGGAGAAAATAGTAGAAGGTTGTTCAAGTATTTAACTTGACCATATATATCTTGGGTTGTTAGAGAACATCATTAATCACCTTGGTACGAACTACTGTATGAAATAGAAAAGATTAGTAAAATAAAATGGGGATGCCCAATCTCTTCACTTTATTGTGATCTTTCTTTTTTTCTCCATCATATTTTACATTCATCCTTCCTTTGTTTTAAGTTGCTTTTTCCGTTAGCCTTTTCCTACTTTTTAGGGCCTACTGGCACAGAACTATATTTGTCTGTTTTTCCCCACGTTTAATAAAATATTTTAATTGTGCTATATTTCACAGTATATTCATCAGTTACACTTTCACTGTTTCCACAAAGCCAAGCAAATATATGGCTATTTGAAGACACTGTTTTAATTACTGGAAAATTAGCTGGTAAGTACAACACTTTTTTACTCAGCTGATAAGTAAACACTTAAAGTGGTTATTATGTAAGTGCACTTCTTCTAATGAATTAATGTTGATTATATGTGGGAAAAATCTAAATTGATCAAGGATGATTAGTACTAACTATAAGTTGATTTGAACTGATTCTTATTTCACTATCAAACTATAATATGGTTCTTTAGTGTCTGTGTAGTGGGAATTATTCTCTCTTTTACTATTTTAGCCTCCCAGATGAGAACATTGGACTTTTGGAAATACTGGAAAGAGCTTCTGAACTTCATTCCAAATCATATCTCTCACTGAACTTTAGTGGTTGGTTAAAGTGGAAAAAGGGCTCAGCCCTGTGGGGCTAATTTGTAGGTCACTTCCATTCCTGCCTCTGGCATTAATCTTGCTGCCTTTGTGGGAAAGGCCTGCACTGGGTAGTTATCTACCCAGCAGACATGATTGGCCCACTCGCATATCCCAAGGGGAAGGACAGGAGAAGCCTGATTTGGGGTCTTTTTCAAGCTGTCATCCAGTTCGGCTTTACGAACCAGCTGGATGATGGTTCCATTCTTACCTCGCTTCCTCATCTCCTCTAACTAGTCCCTAGGGGAAACCCCGGCATTTTGTGATTCTTATTGTATATTATAAAAAACCTTTATAAATCACAATAATTTACTTTTCTATTTAATTCTTTCGTATTAGGGAATTCATATTTAAGACTAAGGTATAATGGGACTTGGTAAAGGCAGAGAATTCTCAAAGTAAAATTTATGAGAGTCTTGGTAAAAAGAATTGTTTTTGAAAGTTCTCTTCATTCTCAGAAGCTATCTTATTTATTCCTAAAGAATTACAAAATCTAATAGTATTATTGGGAAAAATTAAATGAGGGTTTGGTTAATCTTGGAGTAATTTACTGAATGAGGTGGTAGAATCTCTTACTTTAGAGATACTAAGGAATTTGGAGAATTTTGATTCACTGACTTTGCTGATATATGGCAGAATGGGTGGATGTGGAGTTTTGTATAGAAGGATGAAAAGTAAATAGGAACTAGATACATGCAGAAAGAAGCTACATTTTATGCTGCTGGGGCTTTTGTGAAAAACAGATTCTCCAGTTCTTCTTCAATGTTTTGGTTTTGTTTTGACACATTCCTGTTCCTTACTGGCCTCTTCAAACCGCATTACAATTTTAATTTCTGCTGGAATATGTGAAATGGATTTGCGTGAACACGTCCATGTGCCACTCCTCTGCCACTATACCAAGCAGTGGTGAGCTCTCATTTGTCTGGATAGGAGTGCTCATGCCTTGGAACACATCCATGAGAGCACCGTGAGCCCTTTCAAATTCTCAGAGCACTGCCTTTTACTTCCTTATTTCCCTGAGAGTTGACCCTTTCGGTGAGGCCAAACAGGAGAGGATGGATGTTTCTGACACATCCTCACTTGTTAACTTCTGTAAAATGTTTCTGTTTTTCCCTTCCAAGATTTGATCAGGAAGGTGTTCAGTGTGTATAGTGAAAGTGTGTGAATATATTTGCGGTAAAAGGAGCAGAAGAAGTTGGAAACTTCAGGAATGTACAAAACCGTAGAGAAGCTCAGCTAGATACTTCCTTAGTATACGTTTTCAATTGTACGTGGACTCTAAAGAAAGTTGTAGGTAGTATCTAAGTTATCAGAAGGTATCAGATTGTACCCTCGAACAACTTAACAAACAAGAATAATATATTATAAATGCGTTGTTTTTCTTTATATCCCTTAACTATTTACTTTCCAGATATTATTTTTCTACCTTCATATATAAAAAGTAAACTCTACAGTGATTTCGAGAATTATCTTACATTCTTTTATCATTTATTGTCATGTAACTCTTTAAAACTGATACTTTTTTTATCCAAATAATTTTAACTGATTGCCTCTGTCTTTATCAACGATCTTTAAAAACTCCAAAGCAAAAGCTAAAGTCTGATAATTTTTAGTTTTAATGACTTAAAAGTTGCCCCTTGAATTGTTAAATAAGATGTTGATTATAGAAATATCAATATTGCCACTGAGTTCTTACTCCACATATTATATTAGAGGATAGTCACTTCAAAGTGATTAATGTGAGATAATATTTATAAATTGAGTGCATGGCATTTGGAAGTCTTAATGCATGTTTCATTATCTGATAGAGAACCTGCCCACTTAAATATATGGCTGAATATTAGCAAAGGCACTTTCTGTTGCAAGTTGCTGAAAACCCAAAGGAGACATTTATTTATTGCTCAAATAACTGATAAGTATACGAGCTGACCCACTTTAAACACGGCGTGATCGGGGCTTTTGTTGAGATAATTAACTGGTTTTTCTCTCTCCATTTCTCAATTCTCTACTTTTTAAATATGGTCTCAAATTTCAAACCAGCTCTCATTTTTGGTCACAAAATGGTATTTACAACTCCTGGACATATACCCGACCATATAAAATCTATTGAGGAAGAAGCAAGTCTTTTTTCCCTAGAAAGCCAAGCAAAATTCACATTGCATCTCGTTAACTGGTTGTTATAGGCCCATCATTGAACAAATCAATGTCACCAAGAGATTAATGAAATGCTTTTGATTGGTTTTAGCCCATCCTGGCACACACCATTAACTCCTGTTACAGAAATGAAATCCCAGGTGAACTGTATGGGCTAAAAATGGTCAGTATGTGGTTCCCTAGTGAGAAACTCAAAAAAGGGTGAAGAAATCCTGGGCAACAGAATCAAGTAGTCTAGGATAAAGGTGCTGTGATCTAAAAAAAGGAAAATTTCTTATTCAGTTCCAAATTTAAAATAATTATATGAGGAAATGTTAGTAATGTTTAGAAATAATTACAACTGCTTCCTTTAAGTACAGTGTATTGTGCTTAATGTTACTGTGTTTAATATGGATTTATTTTGTCTGTTTGTAATGAGGTTTCCTTTTTCCAGATGCCAAATCTCAACCAAGTGTTCAGTTTTCAAAAGCCTTAATTAAACTACCCGACAACCATCACATTAGCAACGTTACAGGCTATCTTACAGTTCTGCAACAGTTTTTGAAAGTGGACAATTTTCTGTATACATCTGGAATTACTCTTGATAAGTCAGGTATTGTCTAATTTTTACATAATGTATGTATAAGAAATAGTACATAAATCTAATCAAATACTGTTATTTAGATATTTGATATTCAAATTTTTGAGGATACATGTCACTGTTGAAGCAAACCTAGTTATTAAAATGTTTATAAGCAATTAATTCCCTTTTATCTACTGAAAGAAAGATTATAACAGAGTCCTCTACATACATTATTTCAAATTCATGGAAATTTCATTTGCAGGATACTTTTATCCAAAAGAATTAAAAAAGATATTGAAAATAGTAATGATTATTGTGTAACTTTGCAAATTAAATATATTTAAAAATGGAAATTTGATTTAAAGAAGTTTACACATAACTTTTTATAATTTAACCTTTTATTCATTTTTACAAAATTGATCAGAAGTGTCAATACTGATTATATATAAAATGGTTTAATATAAAACCAATATAAATATAAAATGGTTATATATAATGGTTAAATATAAAAAAGTTAATAGATTAGAGTAAGCAATTGTCAATTTTTCTTTTTGTATGTATTTAGTATTCTCTATAAGTAAAATATATCTATCCCAGATTCAACAGCACCAATCCATTTATATAAGGCTGTCATGATCTCAAGGTTAAGGGAATGATGGAATTTTACATTTAACAATACATCTATGAATAACCCCCATAAGAACTCTATATTCCTTCTGTACCACTACGGTTGTTCCACCATGACTACCACTTGTTGCAATGTAACTGAAACTCCACTGTTTAGTATCACCTCACACAATCTGTAATTTTGATGGTTTCGGTTGTATCAAATTTTTGGTTCGTTTCTTTTAGAAAACAGCCATAAATTAGAGTAATAAGGGTAATTGGATGTTTTGTTAGATGTTTGTTGTTGTTTTTAACCTGTTGTAGCTTGTGCTATCAGTGCCCTAGCCAGATGAGCCTCACTCTACTGTTACAGGCCTATGTTTCCTACTAAACACACCTGTGACTGGCTAAGGGCATTCCCTGGTTCGGGAAGCAGGCTTGGCCTTCACGTGGGGCAAGCTCTCAACCAATGACAAATAAGAGTACATAAAAAAAAAATTTCTTTGCCTTGGCTGGGACAACTCTGAGCCAGATTCTGTCCAGTGAGAATGAGCTGGAGTTGTCACAGGGATAACCTCATTAACACATCCTATGCTGGCTTTCTGCTTTCTTTCTTCATTATTCCTCTACTCCCTCAGCAGTGCTTATCTCAGGGTCTGCTTCTTGAAGAAACCTGCCAGGATTTTCCAGATGTCAATTATAGGATGCTCAAAACAAAAACATGGATCAGAATAGTGCAAATATACTTCCATCCCCAATGAAGCTCATGTTGCACTAGAGGGTTTTTGTGGACAATACTCATTAGATTCAGTGGGAAGGGATCATAATGCTGTGCTCTCTAACATTCACTATCACCTGCTTTTGAGATTATTCAGTGTTTCAGGTATTCTGAGAATGCTAACATTTTTAAAGTTCTAGAGCAATGCTATCAAAAGGAATGTTCTTTTGCTCTAATATGGTAGTCACTAGCTACTTGTGGCTATTGAGCTCTTAAAATTTGACTAGTGCACTTAGGAACTACCCTGCTAATGTCACTTAAATTTAAATTGTGACACACTGTGGGTGGCTATTCTTTTGGATTGCACAATTCTAGAGTTCTGTGAGTATGAAAGTATTTTTTTTAAATAAATTTCCTCCTCCTCATCTCTTTCAGTCTCTTTTTTCTCCCTTGTACCATTCTTCCTTCTTTTTGTTCTTTGAATTGGCCTTATCTCAAGTAGTGGCATATTGATCTCAGCAGTTTCAGCTGCATTCAATATCTGCAGCCACTGACTCTATAGAGCTGGAGCGGGGCGGGGCAGGGGTTAAGAGCCGTCACTTCAGAAAACCAGCTGGCTTTACTAAATAGTTGATAAAAGAGATTATACTTACTTACAAATTACATACTACTTTCCTTGTGCTTATATTGGAATACTTACCACTATACTAGTCTAACACCATTCATATGACATTACTTTACTCATCTATGATCTGTGTTTCAGGCAGTTTTTAAGAGATAAATCTTTTATTTCACCGAAATTTTTCAGTAAACCCTGAAAGTTTTTCAGACAGTATTTGCCCTGTCTGATAACTGATAACACCAGATAATGTAGTAGCAATGATGCGAATTCCTTTCCATAGCCTCCAAGTTCCCACCTCTCTCTGCCCTCCAGCTTCATGGCCTGCTTTCTCTCTCTCTCCTGCCTGGAAAGCTCTTCTCTGAGGTGTTTGCATGGACGGCAACTTCTCATTTGGCCACAGCTGCAACATCCCTTCTTCAGTGAAGTGTCTTTTCTAATTACCCAATTACATACACTGCCTTTCTAGATTTTCCTTAAAATACTGATAAGGTACCTTCTATTGTGCATGGAGAAAATATGACAATAAGTAAAGAAAGGAAAAAAGGATTTTCGATAGTAATGAGGATTGTGGGAAAAAATATTGCAGGCAATGTAAGAGATCGTGTACTCACTGTATCTTTGGGGCCTAGACAAGTGCATGGTACCAGTAGGAGATGTAAATATTTGTTAAAATATTTGTTAAACTAATGAACAAATCTTTAGCTTTTAAGTCAAAGATTCAGGGGATGTAAATATTTGTTAAATGATCAAAACTCTAGCTTTTAACCAAAGATTTTTTAGCCACAAAGAGTAAATAATATGTAATAAGTATACTTTATTCACTATTTCTAATGCGTTGGTAAATTACTTGGAAAATCTAAAATTATCAAATTATTTGTAGAAAATTTACAATTTTAACATTATCTATAACCACATTATTTTATTCTCTAAATATTCTGGTGAATATTATAACTTTGGCATTGGTGATATTTCAAAAACAAAACAAAGACCTTTTTTGCTTTTCCCACTGAGTAATAGAAAAATATAGGTAGCTCCTGATAATTAAGATATAAGTTATATATATAAGTTTTAAACTTATATCTTATATCTTAATATATAATATTAAGATATAATATTAAGATATAAGATATAAGAAAGATGTTTTAGACCCATGTCTGCATTGATGATGTGGTATGGCAGAACCTTTACTTGGGTACAATACTGGTAAGATGTATTTTTTTTGGTTGTTGGTTTTGTAGGTTTTTGAAGACACTGAATTGGATTCCAGTGACCTTAAATCAGATGACTCTGAGTGAATCGATTTGTCGATGTTACATATGTATAGCTTATACTGGTGTATAACATATATTTTTAAATTATATTTTAAAAATCTTTAATGAAGATTCAGTATCTATTTGATATTAAAATGGATAGCCCTGGGTGAAGTAGAAGAACTAGTTATTTTAGGCCCATATTAATTTGCTATTAATATGTAACCGCAACCTCTGTCTTATGTAAGATTTTAATAAACTATCTTCTCTTTTAGGTTTTGAAAGCATTGAATTGATTCCTCTTGCTGCAATATGTGTGAAAATATACTCTGGAGGAAAAGAATTAAAGGTGGATGGCTCTATTCAAGTTTCTCTCCCGCTTCTACATACAAATGATATAAGTGCAGGGGATCACATACCTGCCTGGACATTTGATATGAACACAGGTATGTGAGTTAGGTAAAAATATTCTGAATATTTTTCTTTTGAATGTTTGTTTGTTTGTTTTAGGTTTATGGAGGGACAATTGACAACATTTCTATATTTTTAATAGAATAAAATTTAATATGCCTTATTTAAAAGATATTAAAATGTATCATTTATATTTGAATGTTTTATCTTTAGTAGAGCACTAAATCAACGTTATAGCTTTAAGCACTTTGTCAATCACCAAAATTGGACCCACTTTGATTAATATAATACAACTGTGGGGGAAAGCGATGCCAATACATTACATTAAAAATAGTATTATTTACTCATATTCCCATGGTTTAATATACCCTAACATTTTAAGCAGAAATATTTTAAAAGTATTCCTGCTTTTATGGGTTTTTGTTGTGATAGGAAATATAAACTTTTATCTAAAAGCTTGGTTTAAGCAATTGAGAAATGTAAAATGAAAATCAAAAACTGTATTATTAAGGGATAGAGTGATTATTTTCTAAAAGTATTGGGTACCAATTTTGTTCCCTGAGTTTAGCCTCCTAAATGGCTGCTGGAATTACTTTTTCCTCCTCTGCTTCCCTTGGTGGTTTTTGTGTTCCAACATAAATAAGGTGAGAGTCTTAAAGTGAACCCCCCACCCTCGAGAAAAAAGGAAAAGGCCAGGGGTGGAATTATCTTGGGTGAGTCACAGTGCAGAGCTAGATAGTTACACGGGACTTGATTTCTGTCCTCTTCTTTTTCTAAAGTGTTACTTCTTTTCTGGGATAGAATTTCCTTTAGCAAGAAGATTGTAGGTGATCTAATTTTATACCTGCCCAGGCTGAAATCCAGTGGAAAGAGATTCTTTTTCTAGTAGTTATTAACAAGTCCTAGGATTAACTGCAGTTATAGAACTGAGTTTGCATCCCCACCTCAGGAACCAGAGGTCTTTGCGGCCAGCAACTGAAATGTATGGACTTATTAGGTCGTATGTTGGAGGTGGGGATGGAGCCCAAAGTTACTTGTGTAGATTGAGATTAGGAAGCAGTCAATCTTCAAAGGAGATTTGGAATGAGATTTCACTGTAATTGGAAAGGTAGGTAGTGTAGACGAAAAAGGAGTTCTATGGAAAGTAACCTCACAGGGTGATGTGATCATAAATCTCAAATTGGGCAGATCATGGTGAGTAGTCACGGCCCAGGCATTTTACCATAGTAAAGGTTTATCTTTGCCTTAAACAAGCCCTGTCCATTCTTTCTGTGCATCTAGGTTAACACATCTTCAAAATGCCCCCTTTTGGACACCCTTCGTAAAGCATGACCATCCTCAAGAGAGCACATAATTTTAACTATCTTTTATTGTGAGTCACTCCTTACTTTCTTCTACCTCCATGTAATCTTCCTTACATTCTCTCTTGATTTCAAATGCATAAAAGAAGTTGCAAAATTGTTATCCTCCAGACTATGATGCATGAAGGAATACAAAAACAACAAAAAAAGGGAGGGTGGTTTTGCCAAGGATCAGGGAAAGAACTAAATGTCTGGCTTGGATTTCCCACAGCCCTGACTATTTAATTTACAACCATTGTTTACTTCTATGATACATCCTAAAAGGTTTTCTATCACTTATTTTACAATGTTCCCCATTCTATTTAAGATAAAAGATAAATCCTTTGAGATGTTTCAGGGGCCCTTCTGAAACACCACAGAGTTATTTCTACACATGTTGAGATTTTAACCCTTACAACCTCAATTTCTAACAAAAACTAAGAAGTAAGCAATTAGCATTCTTTAGCTTGGCAGATTCATAGACATCAAAGTCAATTATTAACATGGACTTATCAAACTTAAACTAGGTTTATTTACTAAGGATTAGTCTCAGATCATGTGAACTTGAAAACATTTTGAGTTAGTTTCTATATTTCTGAGAATTTTAGACCACTCAATCCTTACAAGTGCTTGCCTTTAAATTAATTTTAATATTGTCCAGAGGTAGAATAATATAGACATACAGACATACACAGAGAACAGCTGGATCCAAATTTTGTTTTGGAGGCATTTACAATTTATGTCTGTCAAGTTCCAAATGGCTTACCTTCCCCTTTTAAAATGAGGACAGCCATTTTTAATACCTCAAAGAAGTGGGTTGACACCTAAACGACATCATAGGTTGATCTATTTATCTAAATCCTTTTTTGAAGCTTCAGGAGACTAATTGAATGTTTTCCATTCAGTCTGCCTAATTTTATAGCAGGACTTTCCTAATTGTGCACACAAAAGATTAATTTAGAAGTATCAAAGTTTCATCATCTCGGCCCTCTCAGTTATAAATGGGAGACTGTCATGGGGCCTGGCAGCCTCAGAGACATGATTTCCCATGTTAACTTTTAGATCTGTAGAGTCTGGACAAACTTTAGAGAAAGGCAGCCTTCACGTGCACATGTGCACATCTCCAGATGTGCCAAATGCAGTGAATATACTCATAGGACTGCTTCACGCCTTAGAGGAAGTTCTCCTCAGCCAACCCCCTGCCTCAAATTCTTAGTCACCTAAGAATACCCAAGCAAGGCACAGCAAGAGCTTACCAGATGCCACCAGAACTATGATGCTTTCAAAGGCATGGGCCCCTCTCTCGGAGTGAATCCATTCCAAGGTGCCCTGCTCCTCATCCTGGGGCTCCCACCAGCTTCTTGGGGGTCAGCTATGTTACCGCACTGGATGCCTCATGTCGCCCATCTCCACTATCCCAGATCTGGGGAATTTGAAGAGATTTGGGAATCTGAACAACTATTGTCACCCCGTTGGCTATTTGGGTTAGGGAAACAAGTGTCCTTTCTCTTTCATTGCTAGAGAGAGTTCAGTCTCTTAATCAGCAAAGGTTTTGACTCAGACTCCTACTAAGCAATCCAATTAAAAGCA